GCAGCGAATTAAAATTCAGCGGCTCCGCTGGCTTGGCCATGTCGTTCGAATGGACAGAAACGCTCCTGCTCCGAAAGGATTCAATGAGAGCCGCGATGCTGGTAACAGAGGAAAGACCAGGTGGAGAAGGACTTGGCTTCACTTGGCATTTCCAATTGGCGTCAGTTGGCACAGAAAAGAAATGACTGGCGTGCTGTTTTGGATTCGGCCAAAATTGTCTAGGCGGTTATAGCGCCAATAAATAAGAAGTGCACACTACTAAAATTTAATTTTTTTTCTTTGACAACTTCCCTTGCTGTTGCCTTGGAATATAAAACTAGTAATTATATTAATGCGGTTGAAAAAAATGGAAGTGGGCTCAAAATCTTATCAGAAAAAGTTGCCGCATTCCAAGGCGAATATAGTTATGTATATAAAGTGGTATCGATTCAACAAATACAACCGTTACTTGTATTTTGTTTTTGCTTTTAGCGGGCCATTGTCAAATTTCAGCTATTCTTCCCCAAAGGAATAAGGGGGGACGAAAATACAAACACTCTCACGTTTTCACTCACTCACTAGCGAAAAACAAAATTTTGACAGTCAAACGCTACTCACAGCTGATGAAACAACACCACCTGATATAAATTCGCCTTGCCGCATTCAAGAATTGTATTTTGATGTTTCAAATATGCTCAACATATGCCAAATACGAAATACTCAAACACGTAAAATACATTGGACATCAATCGGAATATTTTTACAAAAAATTTAATAATCTCTGGTTGGATCTGGAAACGTTTCGATCTTAAGGAAAATAATATCCGATGTCTATGTATTAACATTATATTCAAATGACCAAAGTACAAACTCTGTCTTGTAAACTTACTTTGAACGTATCGTGTATGTCACATTTTGTCTCCAATGGCTGCAATTTTACATTAACCGTGCCGATAAGTGTATCCGAGCGAAGAAATCCACTGAAACAACACGTAGGCAGTATACGACTTAGTCCACAATAATCTAAACTGCATCTTTGGTTTTTGTAAAGCATTAATTATAAAATGCACGATTTTTTTTACATTTTTAAATGTGTGAGTACGACCACCAATCCGGAGCAGACAAGTATTTACAATGAAATGAAAAATAATGTCTTTCCAATACATGGTCTTATTCATAAAAAAAAAAATGAAATGTATTTAAAAAATATTATTTTCATATAATTTTCCGATAAAAAGGCATTTACTTTTTTATTTTTAATGAATAGGGTCTCATTGTCAAGAAAGAAAAATATTTAAGTGTAAAAAAGTTGTAAAAATATCTGACATCAATATCTCTTAACCAAACATTGCATGAACATACACACATGATTCAATAATTAAAGGTTTGCTCATTAGTTGACATTAGAGTTTTGATACTCCCTTAGCTCCCTTAGTAAAATTTAGCACACACACACGAACCCTCACACAGTGCCTTGCTAAGGGAGCCGATTTTGTCAAGAGGGAGTGAGAAAACTGTTTATTGAGCAAACCTTTTATTATTGAATCATGGAACATATCGTCGCCTGGGTAAAAGATTGTCGTATGTTAATTTCGGCAGGTTGTGGGAAATCTCGATTGAAGTTTGGAATGCAATTTCTCAAAAACGCGAAGATAGATTTTCTCCAAAGTCTCTGAAAATGTTACTAGTTCACAAATTCTTAAATTATTTCATTTTTAATGTTTATTGTTAATTAGTTTTGTGTTTATGAAGGATTTTCTTTAGTAAAACTTTGTCGTAAGCGACATTTGTCCACAATTCGGCAGCCACTTTGTATGAAATACGACAAAATGTGATCAAAATTTCTACCAAATTAACGACACATTTTACTCGGAAACTAAAGGAGATATTCAAAAATGGAGAACGCCATTTTGAAGATATTGATTAGTTTAATATGACTGCATCACTAACTTATCTAAACTAACTAAATTATCGAAAAAATTTTAGTCAATATCACGAAAACTAGAGGAGATATCTAAAAACTGATAACCACAATCGAAAGATGTTATTTCAAAATATATAACTGCATCTAGAACTAAAAATCGTCAAAAGTTCGCTTACGACAATCTTTTACCCAGGCGTCATATTTTGTCAACATTTGCTAGAAACTAGGATAAGGAAAATAAACGGAAAACGCTAACCTCAATTTTTCGATTGTTTTGTTAATAAGACACTTTTACTAGATACAGTCAATAGCTGAAAGTTAAATCAAGCATCAAAATTATGGAAAGTAAATTAGTCCTTACTACTACAGATATTAGCCAGTAAAATTTTTAAATTACCTACATACAATAATATTTTTATTTTTAGTAAGTTAGCACATTGCATGAGGCAAAACTATAGTGTTTTTATTTTATAATCATTAATAATTAATTTACCACTTACCCACGTGAAAACACTTCGAATTTCACACCGTGTCTTTTGAATATACGTTGGAACTGTCGATTTCCACGTTGTATTTCTACTCGGAAATGTTGGTCATAGTCTGGGTTGTCGGTGTTCTTGACCACTGAGGTTTTTGCTCGAAACGTTTCATCCTAAATAGGTAGTGAACACGTTAGATGAATGATGATGAAACGAATAATTTCAAAATTACATTCAAAAGTGGAAATTCCAATTTTACATAAGTATCTATGTCTTTTGGATTAGGCACGTTATAGTTGAGGCCACGTACAATAACTATTTCCAATTCGTTATCGGTAAGTTCTGTGTTACAGTGCACAATATTGAAGTTTCTCTTTTCGTAGTGGAATTTGGGCAGATCCAAATTTTTGCGCTTGGAATAACGTACCATGTCTAAATCCTTCTGCACAGTTAAAGCCAAGTTTTCAAAGCGATTCATACCGGCTACATCACCCATAGCTTTATGGTGATCCCTTTCAATATGAATTTGTGAATTTGTGAGCAGCATTAAGTGCGACAGCCCCAAACCAAGCCGGATTTCATAAGTTTTTTTTTTTTTTTTTTTTAAAGTACGCCTATCCATTATTAAATAGATACCAGCCGAATTTGTTATATTCCCAATTAATTACTTTTGGTAACATCTTTAATTTTTGCAGTTTTCAAACTAAATTTATTTGAGTTTTTTTACTACAGAGTTCTACGAAAAAAAAATTTTTCAGAATAAGCCAATAACAGTAATAACACAAAAAATTATACTGAAAGAGTTCTGTGTTCAAAGGGAGTACGCCAATATAATCCCTGTTACACAAAACTGTTTCCGAGTTTTTTTTTATTATTTGAGCAAGTGTTAAAACTGAAGAGAAAAAAGTGATTATTAAAAAAGAATTATAAACTTACATATCGCACGTTTAATAATATAGGGATGTAATTCAAAATTTACATTTTTTTTAATTTCATCATAAAATGAATAAGACTGACAAGTAGAACATGTTCAGCCTAACAGATGGCTAAACTTCCCAAAAATGGCGAAGATGTAGGTTCTTTTAACTGTCTTTTTGTATACCAACTGTATGAATTGAGCAAACTTTGATTGTGTTTTCCCACAAAATTGTAATTTTTAAATACTTCTGTATATTACTAAACGTGCGATATCGCTAGTATAGAGCCTGTCAGACCTGGCAATGCAATATATTTCGAAAAGACTATCAAATTGAGAAAAATTCAGAAAGCAGTTGCATGAGCTGTCAGACCTTGCATTTAAAGTGTATTTCGAAAGAGGTGATTGCTAGTGCAGCCGAGCAAGTTGAAATATATTTCCGAAATCGATTTGCGCTCTCTCAACTGATTTCCGAAATGTGATAGGCAGGTCTTTCTGGCTGTTCACACAACGAAATAAAGTTTCTCTTTCTCAATTTGCCAGCGAATTGCTTGGAAAAGATGGAAATATTGCCACGTCTGGCACGCTCTTATAGTAATTAACGAAAAATCCATAATTCACTTTTCTTTACGATCCCTGATTTTTATTCATATGGAATGCTTGGGTCTCTGATTTCGGACTCATCGTTTTTTCACATTAATGCTTTTGTACGAATTATGTAGTCATATAAGAAATTTTGTACAATTTTTGCCCGCTAAAACTTTAAAATATATTGTATATACTTGTGTATGTATGTTTGTATCTACATATGAATACATATATATCCTCTATCACCTAGGGAATAAGTGTTTTTGCGACCGAATACGGAAGCTTTGAATTCGAGGGAATTATAAAAACGAAATTTGGCATACATACATCTAGAGGGCTGAATGAATTCATTAAAAACGGCTTGTGAATTATTCATATACAAAAGGAATGAATGATTTTGGCTTAAAATTTGTTTTAATTTGAATGAATACCTATTCAGATATATGTGTCGACATTACAATATTCAAAGTGAAAATAAATTGAATTGAAATAATAATTATTATTATTGCTGCGCACCTTCCTGCAAACCATTTTTTCAGAGTATTCTGAATAGTAGAAAAATTTTTAAAATTTCGTAAAGATTTCATCCGATTTTTTTGCCGAATTTTCTAAATTAAATAAACTGTGCGCACTTCGATTCTGTTACGAAATTTCGGAAGAAAATCGGTAAAGCAATGAAAATAATGCTGCTATGTGAAGAATTTCCTGCAGAATTTTTTTCGTACAAAAATTTTTTTACGAGTTAGTGCCAACCCCTTCATATAAGTTTCCTTGTAGATTCGTAAAAAAAATCGTTACAGAAATGAGATACCCCTCAAGATTTCGTTTAGATTTCGGGAACTTGGATTTGCAGGGCTATTACAATACGAACAAATTTGTTTGTAGAAAAAAACTTTAACCGAAATGACTTTGAATGGTTTTAATGTTTTTCATTCATTCATTCTTTTACATTCTTACAATTAAAGGTAGAAAATTTAAAACAAAATGTATATTCATAACTTAAAAAATTCCAAACGCTGAAGCTCTACCCAGAATTACAGCGTACGACGGTAAAGCGGCAGTGAAATCCGTCAGAGTAAACACAATTACAGCGCACGACGGCTTCCGTCAGTTGTGATTTGAAAATTACCAATAAAATTAAATATTTTTTCGGTACGTGCGTGTATGTAGATTTGCTGGAAATAAAAATGGCTGAAAACATTGCCAAACTTGTGAAAATAATAAAAAAATTACTACAATCAATCCCCGCTGGGCGGTAGAAATAGAAATAAATCTAAATCATCCGAAAAACGTCGGCGGAAAAAAATGCTGCCGCCGCAATTATGAACCATTCCATATGCGTTCCCACGACAGTGGGGTCTACGTAATCGGAACGACCCAGTTTTATATCTAACCAAGAACCGTCACTCCAGCAACACTCCCCAAAAAGTCTTTGGGGAATTTGTATGGTGCTACAACAACAACAACAACAACCATTCCATATGCCTTTGTGAGTTTTAATTTTGACAGCGGTTAACCGACGGCCGCTTTACCGTCGTCCGCTGCAATTCTGGGTAGAGCTTGAGTGTTTTGTATGTTGAGTAGAATACTTAAATATACGGTACTCTGTTTGGCTAGAAGTTTGAATGAATTCATGCAGCCCTCTATTGTATATCAGTTTCTGCGGAGACGGTGGAATGACAGCATAAACGTAATTTTTTCGATTTTTTTTTTTTTTGTTGTTCATAAAATGCAAAAGGAAGTGGTGGAAATGAGTCTTGGAGAGTCGTGAAAAACATTATTGAAATCCGGTTTGTTTTCGGTTGCCCTGAAACAGCCTGACAGTAAAATGTTTCTATTAGATTGCTACCTTGTATTTTTGCACATCATTAATTGTTTTGCTAATTGTTCTTCAACCCGTATTCCAATATCCGACATGTCGTCATCTGGATCGCATTCTCCTGTTGTCACAATGGCAAATGATTCCTCCAGATTGTCACGTTGAGATGGTGGTAATGGTAACTGTAATATAAGCGATAGTTGTAATCACACATACATACATACATACATATATAAAAGTTGTGGGAAATGTAGTCCTCATTTTAAAAGTCGGAAGGACAGACTACTCACTAGCAAAATATTTTAGACCAATTAGTTTGCCCGCCTTCTTGCTAAAAACAATGGAGATCATTGATAATTAAACTAGATCTAACACTCTGAAAGTGGCCCCTCTTCATCCCAACCAGCAAACGTACAGGGTGGAAATATCCACGGGCACTGCTCTGTATGCGCTGACTACAGTGAGTCTTTGGGGGAGTCTTTGACTGTGGAGAGAGTGTGCGCTTTCCCCGATATCGAGGAGCCTTCGATTATTCCCAGATAGATGGATGGACTACTCCAAACAAAAATCGTTGAAAGACAGCGTAGTACAGCTTCAAACAACAAAGTGATACCTGCAAAGTGGGGTACTAGCACCCCTTCTGTTGAGTTTGGTAGTGGAACAATGGCATCCACTGAAAGGGGTACGCGGCTGACATAGTAATAATAGCCAGAGGAAAGTTCAAGAGTACCATAGTGACATAGCAGGTGACATAGTACAAAGAGGTCTAAGGACTGTCATCGTACTCTCCAAGAGGATAAGGAACCTTCCCGGTATGTGGAATATAACCTTAAATGGGGTCGTTCTTAAGGTGTCTGCCGAAGTTAGGTAACTGGGTCTAATCCTAAATTCTTAGCTTCTGTGGAGATCTCACGTCGGCCCGACCACATCAAAGGCTACCAGGGCAGTAATGATATGCGGGCGTTAGCAGGAAAGTCTTGGAGGTGCAGCCCAAAGATCCTTAGATGGATGTACATTATGATAGTACTACCAATAACGACTTATGGGCGGTGACTTGGACTTCAAGAACAGCCTTGGCCACGGTGAGACAGTATCTTAATAAATGGCAACGTCTAGCTATTGTATGTATTACGCGAGCAATATGCACATGCCCGACGACAGCACTAGAGGTAATTCTTGATCTGGAGCCACTACTCCTCACCATAGAGCAGGCTGGGAGACGTACCATCTTAAATTTTTAAAGAGATGGTTATGGTAAAGGGTAGGTTCTTTGCACTTGGGCGACTACAGTATGGAGGGGTATATACAGGTATTTATGCTCCGAGGATGAAACTACCCGTTTCCATGGGCAAAATGCTAATCCTTAGCGACAGCCAGGTAATACTTAAGGTATTATTATCCTTTGAGATAAAATCATAATTAGTCCTTCAGTGCATTGAGAACCTTAACACCATTGCGGAATTCAATAGCATGTAGCCAAGAAACGAGATAGCAGACGTCTGAGCCAGAACATCGGCGGCCAAGTCTCCGATAGGTCGCGAGCCATTCCTTGCAATAGGCCCAAATACCATTAGGGGAGTCCTTAAAAAAGGCACATTATGTACAGTGAACAACACTGGCATAGTACAAAATGACTTCGCCAGGCCAAAAACTTACTGGTGATATGTATACATATTCTAAAAAGATATAACTTTTATTTAACCTCCCCAAACACAAACTTAGAATCATTACAGGCATCCTCACTGGATACTGCAGATTAAGAAGACATAAGCATAAGCTGGAAGTCTGATAAACTGATCTCTGTCATTTCTGCGATTCAGCTGAGGAGACATCATACCATGTGTTTCTGAAGCGTTGCCAGAGAGAGAGCACATACCTACACTCCTTACTTGAGAAGGAATCCTTGGGATCAAAAGCTCCGTTTAGATTTTACATGATAGATAGTTACAATGAATTTCTTAGATTTTGCCCAACAAGTGTTATAGATATCGTTAATTGAACAACTTGACATATATGTATGTATACGGCTTTTGTAGATATGTATATTAAAAGGTAAAAACAACATACCGTGCTAAGATCCACTGGTAACCCACTACTTGCTGCATTTAATAATGAATCGAATCCCTTATATATCTTGAGGTACTCCTTAGCCTGATTGATTTCCCCAGCTTTTTTAGCGTCGATTGCAGCAATCTTGAATTCTTTCTGCCGGTCAAGGAGAATTTTCATCTGTTGCTCCGCTAAATTGTTCTTTTGCTGATTTCCTGATGTACGAGTAGTTAAATCATGATTTTCGGGTGGGGGCCTGGGCGAAGTTGGTATTGGCGTATTCTCTGAACAATCTTGACTTGAAATGCTGCCATCCGCAGATGTGCCAGATGGGTTAGCAATTGGGGATATCGCTGAAGCGGAAGTATTGGCGGGAGCCCCATTTGAGGTTGGTAGAGGCCCGAAACCTGGCGGAACGGGCAATTCATCGTAAGCTACTGGTCGTCCTGTTTTAAATTGTTTAATCGCATCTTCATACTGTTTCACAATGCGTCCGAAGCGTCGGGCCTTGCTGGAATTGCCTTCTGCTTTAGCCGAATCTTCTACGGCTTTATACTTGTCCAACCGTTGCTGAAGTGCTTCAAGCATTGAAAGTGGTGCGTCCCCGTCGTTTTGAACAGCAATTGACTCGGTGTTTTCAACCAGTGCACGATCTGCTCCGTTTTCGTTTTTTTCATCTGTATTGTTTTGCAGTTTGGACAAAAAATCCATAAATTGCTCAGGAGGTGGAGGCATGTCACTCAAGTCTACTTCTTGCCCGTCCTCAACCATTTTCATGACCATATCAAACTGTTTCACTACCTTAAGGAATTGAATTGCACCATTGGTGTCACCATTACGTTTTGCTTGCAATGCTGCAGCTTTATATTCACGTTGACGCTCGCGCATTTGTTCCAACATTGGGCTGCTTGTCGTTAGTGATTCTGTACTTTGGGGTATTTTTGCGGCTGAGTTCGAGTCTGATCCCGACGTTGGAGGAGGCGGAGCAGTTCGGGAAGGGCTATTCACTGTTTCATTTTGCTCCAGTTGAGTTTGTGGCTTTACACTAACTTCTGGCGGAATGTCCTCTTCTTTGATTTCTTTTCCGGCATTTGCTTGTTTTTGCAGCTCCAACAAAGTATTTAAACCCCGTCCAAAGCGTCGTGCTTTTGCACTTTCTCCGCTTGCCTTAGCACTTGCTTCTGCTAATTTGTACATTTCAATACGTTGCTGAATGAGGTGTATAGTATTAACAGTTGTTGTTGACAAGATAGGTTGCTGCTGGCCCTCTTCCGAAATTAACTCGCCATCGTTCGATTGGACAGCTTCCGCTTCTTCATTTTCTGCGGCGTTCCCTTCAACCCCTGCTATATTGTGTAGTTCACCTAAAAGATCCGTATCATTTTCCAAATCTACGTCATTATCGTCCCCCTCATCCTCGCTACCAACATCTTTCAAGCTCTCTGCAATCATTTTATCAAGATCTGTATTTGTTGCTGGCTTAGTTGGAGGTTTTCGCAAAGGCTTTACACCTTTTCCGCCAGCGATAGCGGCGAGTTCTGCCTCCAAGTCACTATCGTTGCCGACGTCATCTCCGTAGCCAGTTGATGGATCGAAATCATCCGGAATTTCCGTTAGACCAAACTAAGAGAACGAAAAATATTGGGTACTGATGAGTCATTCACATTTGGAAAATGAAAACAAAGTACACCATATTTCATACCTGCGATAAATCATGGTTTCTTCGCTTAGCTGGTTCAGGTTTTCTACGTGAAAACATATTTGGATCGGGGTTTTTGGATATATTAGAACCTGGATGAAAATAGGATTTAAAGTTTTTAATTTTCTTTCAACAGACTACTAGCTGCTATTTTTCCAAGTTCTTTTTGTCTGCTGCTGTCGTTTTGTTTTGATCCGGATCAGCTGATGTTGCACTGTGGTCAATCTCCACAGTTTTATTTTACAAAATTTAACGATCTCAATCAAGGAGTTGCTGTTATTGAACTTTGTTCATATTACAGCATAAATTAGTTTATTTCGGCCAAATTACTTCATAAATAAATAAAGAAATTATAATTAAATGAGTAAAAAATACATATTTTATTGATATTAGACTTAATTTAAATATATTAAAATTTAAAATAAAAATTTTGCAGTTCTAATATAAATTGTTACATGTGATTTTTATTTTAATGTATTGTTTTATTTTATTGAAAATGTTATTTTAGTTAATACAAAAGTTTTCTTTGTATTGTTATTGTTTTTTTTATATTTTTTATTATTATAACATTTTTCTCCAGTGGAGTGTCTTCGATTTCTGTTTATGGTTCACCTGGTGTTTTAAGGATAATTGGATTCTCCTTGCCATTCTGGACTTTAAGTTCTCAAAGCTACAAAAAAAGTCAAATTTTGCTTTCATATATGATATATATTTTTGATAATATTGTTATAATAATAACATTATTATTAATAATATATAGATATATTATTGCAATATGCTTTTAACTTGCTTCAAATAAGTTTCCTTTACGTTAAATATTTGTTTAAGTGAATATTATTTCGTTTGAATGTACTTTTCCCCATTTAGTGAGTTCATTTTTTATAATTTCGTCTTCCTCGTGCTAGTAGTATAAAAATAGTGCTGCCATTTCAAATGAGAATGACCCAGACATTTTCGTGAGAAATGATCGTGATACTGAGCTGGATAACCCAAATAAACACAACTCTTACCTTGCTTTTTTTGCGTTCAACGAAAATGCATTCCTGTCGCGATTGTTAAATCAGCTGTTACAAAATTTTATTTTTTTCATCTAACCATTGTTTATACAATCTTTTTTCGGCTACTGCGATTTCAAGTCAAGGAAATACAAAGGACATCATTTCCGCGAAATGGCAGCTAAGCCCCCCTCAGCGTGATCTTATTCGTATTATTATCAATAATTTTATAAATTCCTTGCGACCACGCCAATTTAAGGGGAATTTGGTTGGAGAAGACTATTTTGGAAATAAATATTATGAGATTCCTGCAAATCCATCGATTGGTAAAAGAAAAGCGTCACGCTATTTCGAACCAAATGATAAGGAAGCGTTTGATCAAGAACTTACAGCGGAATGGGAGGCATGGTTGCGAGGCCGCCGTGATGATCCACCCACTCGTGAAGAGTTAGTAAAAAACCTGTCAATTATGGAAATGAAGCGTCGAAATGCATCTGAACTTGAAGCTACTTACGGGGAAAAGGACAGCAAAGGAAAGCTCTTGCCGAAAGAAAAGGAAATGATTGGCACTTTCCCCAAGTATGATGAATATGAAATTATTCCTGGCAAGGATCCAGAGAAAAAATAATAAAACGAGTAGGTGTTGTTATATTTATTCATCTTTTAATAAATTGTTATGCAGTTTTATTGCAATATGATGATAAAATTCAACAATAAACAAATCTAAGAGTTACAATATTATATCACCAATCGTCTAGATCTAAATCTTTTACAATATCGACGCTTTCTGGATTATCGGGTTCTTCCAATGGTATATCATCCTCAGGCTGTGAAGCACTAGTTTGTTTTGGTTTCTTTTGTTTTTTAATTCGTTTCACTCTTAGAGGAGGATTATCTCGTTCTTTAATGTCCGTATTTGGCATTTCCTCATCTTCTGAATCTGACGGGAATAGTTCCAACTCACCATTATCATTCCTAATTGCCACATTATCTTTGCTGGGACGTTTAATGCTTGGTATATCATAGTCTGCATTGATACTATCGATTTGAGCTGCCTGCCGTCTTTTCTTTGCTTCATGCGTTTTTACCCAGCTTTCATAGTAGATCGATAACGGTGTTCCCTTATTATGTACTTTTGTTTCCCAAGAATTGACTTGTGCCACATCATTAAGATTAAATGTAATTTTACGTCGCTCCTGGTCGATAAATCGTGAGTTCTCCTGAATCTTGTCCAAAAGCTGTTTTAGTTTCCTAGAATAATTGCCATTTCTGCACTCTTTGAGATAGCTCTTCAGCGCTAATACAGTTGGTACAACCAAATCGCTGAAAGCTAGTGTCGCTGATTCATTAGCTAATAACTCTAAAACAAGGCTACATACTTGCTCGATTACTTCGTCACGAAAACCATTTTCAGATAACTGACCTTTGTTAAGGCGTAAAATGCAGGTAAATTGAATTGGTCGCATGGATACAACAGTATGTTTACGGTTAAAAGTGTTACTACGCAAAACTTCTAAAATCAATGGGAGTAAGGGGATAAATGCATGCGTTTCTTTGGCCAATGTTATAAGTATTTTTATGCAATGAAAACGCAAGGGAAAGTATTGCGCTGTTGGTATAAGGCGGATAACTCCCAAAGTTATTGTAACTAACGGGTATACAAGTGGCTGTAGCTGAGGCTTGTTCGTAGTAGCTCCTAACAGATCAGCCCATAAACGCAAAGAATTCACATACTGCCAATTATAAACCGCTTGAAAGCTGTCCTTTTTCTTCAGTATTACTGCGTTGCGCAAATGAATCGCCAATTGTCGGATATAAAGAAAAGCATGCTGGTAGGATGCATTTAAATCCAAAGCGAACATTTCAACAAGAGAGCGACGCATGAAATTTATGCTAGGAAGCGTATTGGGGGAAACAAATTTTGAATTCCGCACATAAGAGAGATACATGGCTTTTAAAACATGATGTAACATCGAAACCTGAAAAGATAAAAAACATATTTTATGGAATTCAACAATACCACAAATTTAAATAATAATATAATTAAAAGCGCTACATACCTGCTGATTGCGAGTAATCTTGAGAATGCAAAGAAACGCTAGCACTCTTATTGTTTCATCGCCTGTGGCCCATAACACTATTAGACGTTTCAATATAGTTTTTCCTAAGGTTGTAAATGATGCAGTCATTACAGCCATTTGGTGCAAATGTTTTAGTAAAACCGAAAGTATATTCGCACTGGAGACCTGCTCTACCAATCGAATAAGATCGGTTAAGTAATATCGTAAGCAACCTCGAACTTTAGTCCATTTTTTTGTTTTATGGATTGGAGTTGTCGAGCGCGGGGTTAAACCTAGAATGCGCAAAAGAGCTGGATAAAGATGCAGAACACACAATTGGACAACGCCGTTGAAAGTAGCTGAACCAACAACCTTAAACGAAGTTGGTGCTGTATTTCCTTCATCCGATGTAATGCTAGCTAGAGCAGAACTAAAAGCTTGAATGACCTTGCGCACTATATCTAAGGAAACATTCTGCTTTTCCAATTGCACTTGCCATTGACGTAGCAAATTTAATGTTACTTTTTGTTGCCCATCAGGAACAATATCAGCGTCATCTTCAAAATCGCTTTCATCGCTGGCTACTTCTAGATTCTCATTGGGTTTATGATACATTTCACTGTCTTCATTATCGTTGCTGTCAGAGTCTCCCAAATTATTTTTAATCTCCTTCTCTTCGTCCGCGGTTTTATTTCTAGCTTTATCATCGTTACCCTGATTTTCATCATCAGAATCGTCGCTGTCGAACATATTAAAATCCAACAACTTTTTATCATTTTGCTTCAGAAAATCATAAAACTCTGGATCGATGTCTTTTAAACTTTCAAGTTCCTCCTTGTGCGATTTATTTTTCTTTTTTTTATCATATTTCTTATCTTCATTGGAATCTTTGAAAGAATTCTTTCCGCCGGCTATTCTGTTCTTCAAAAACTTGGCAGTTTTAATGGAAATTTTACTCTGGTTGTTTTCCTTAGCTTTTTTTAGTTTCTTTGTGTCTTTGATCGATTTGATACTTTTCATATTTATTAAAGGTTTAGGATTAACCAAAGTCTTGCGCTTTTTTAATCCTTTCATTTTTTTAAACCACAATAAAAAGATATAAAAAGAAACGTGCGTTTTAAAATGCAAGCAATGTAGATATGCCCGATATTCATCAATCTTCGATGACAACAATTGTTCGAACATATGAATCGATGTTTTTCATCGGTTACTAAAAATATTCATCAATATTTATTGAGCTTGAGGCCGTTTGTAATGAAAAACTATTGTGAAAAGCACCAATAATTTTGAAATAATTGTGGAAGTGATTGCTATTTCGGAAATCACCACATTTCCTCATCAAAATGCTCAAAATGTACCGCGTGTTGACATCGATTTTAGAGGACTACATGGGAGCTACACATTGTTCATCAAGCTTGTCAGTCATGAATTTATCAGTTTGGACTGACGCCTTGCAGCGGTCAAACTATCAGTCATGTATAAGATGAAATCATCATTCAAAATTCATCAAGGAAAGATGGAGGATAAACTGATAATGCAGGAATTTATATTGGTCGAACCACCAAATTATTGATTGATATACATTATCAACACCGGCAATAGAAAACTCTGATTGCTTAATTCTTGTAATCTCTTCTATAGGACGAAAAAATAATATTTGTTTTTTTTTTACATCTTCAACACTGCATGGTTTTTGGTATTTTTTAATCATACTTAAAAATTCTTCATATGATTTTATTTCTCTTTTGCTCTAGTACGTTTTTTTAATTGGATGTAAAGAGAAGGCACGCCCCTGTTACTCACTTTTGCTACAATTATAACAAGTTGTCCCTTCACACACATGTGTGTACGGTCGGTGTTATACACAAATTTTGTTTGGCAAACTGCGTGGAATTGTTGTTGCAGCAAACTCGGAGAGAGCGAGTTGGGCGATTCTCACAGCAATCTAATTTTGTTTGGTCAAACTGCAGCAAATTCGATGTTGTCATATACAAAAATTTTAGATAATTGTTGTTATACACAAAAATTGCCGTGATACCTAAGCCCGAGAACTTAATTAATGCTGTAGGAGCTCGAAAGATAGGGACACAGTTAATTGCCTATACGACAGAGCTGTAAAACTGTGAAATCATTTAAAATTAAAAATCATCAATTTTATATTATTATGTTTTCATTGAATTCTCGCTTATTGAATAATGCGGCTTATAGTTTTCCAATTCTACATTCACTCAAAGTAGATACGATTGCACACATTTCCATATTCAAAGAAAGATTGAAAAAATTGAATGACGAACGATTCACTTTTAACACTGAATAAGCATTCAGATGAATGCAGCTTTTGCTATGTGTGCACACATCCACTCAGTACCAATCAATTGATATAAATATTTTGAACACACAAAACCCACTGAAAAATACGCCAGGTTGCATTTTATTAAAAAGACTGCAAAATTTCAACACGAAAAATAGTTAATAGAGCGTTATCATCAGTTTTTTTCACTTAAATTTGTACAAGGATTTATAAGAATAAAAAATATTAATTGGAGAAATATTTTTTAGTGAACGTGTCGTTAGAATGTCATTATGAAAAATATAAATTATTAATGATTTTAACATCTTTGTTTAGAAAATTGTCAGCTTTCCAAATAAGTGTTACCAATATACCATTAATAATGCATAATGCATAAATTAGTACATACATATATAAGTTAATATAAACTAACAAATTTAAGAGCTTCTGGTTCTAACTTTAGACATACATATACATTTCATTATTTAATTATAAAAATTTTTTATACAAATTTCTTCGTACATTTTTTCGTCGCTATTGGGTCAAGCAGTTGGTTTGTGGAGGTTTTTTCATTTACAATAAGCCACAAATTATCAACATTTCCAACAAAAAAAATATTTAACAAAATTCGTTGGTCTCTATTTTCATTAACATCCTTTTCCGAAAGTGCAGTATTTAAGAATTTATACCCATTTCATTGAGCACGCTTTTTAACCCAAGTTTTGGTTTGTTTGTTAACATCAAAACTACATATCGACACCTAAGTGGAAGATCGACCTATCTCGGCAGCCAGTTCGAAAACTCCCTATCTCAAAAAACTGTTATAGAACACCCTATTTCAGAATTTTGTTGAAGAACGCCCTATCTCAGAATGCGGTTCAAAAACGCCCTATCTCGGCAAATTTTCAATATATTTTCATTTGAGATAGGGCGTTCTTCAACCAAATTCTGAAGTAGGACTTTCATAAAAAGTTTTCTGAGTTAGGGCGTTTTTGAATTGGCTGCCGAGATAGGTCGATCTTCCAATCAGATGTCGGTATATTAATAAAAAATGATTAAATATTGTCTGCTGTAACCTATTTTAGAAATAATTTATTTATTAGGATTTGCAATTTGAAAAAATCAGTTCCTTCCAATTTTGGGAATCAAACGGGACCCCACACAAGCAAAAATCGTTTTCTACAATCTTTATTAACCTGAAGGGCTAGACAACAAACAACCGCTATGCGAACAAAGTTATAATACCCATGTGCACAAATGCGCTCGGGTGTAATTTGTTCTTAAAACATTATTCTAAATGTATGTTTTGAACAAATTGATTTCAAAAGTTAGAAATATGTCCCATTTTTCAAAAGTTTATAATAATAAACATGTGAGTTTTTTAGCAATTTGTTTTCTGTAATTAAGGAAATATTGAATTTTTTGAATTTTTCGAAATTACCGTTTTATGGGAGGGACCAGGTTATTGTTTAATTTTTGTATTTTCAATACGCTTCTGCCCTACATAAAGGGAAACCCGCGTACCGAATTTTCTTCCGATATCTCAACTTTTCCTAGAGTTATCGTGTACACAAACGAACGGACAGACAGACAGACGGAGATGGACTAATCAACTTCTCTTTTTATTCTGGGCATTTACGGTATATACATACATATGTACATAAATGTAGTATATATCTATCTCGATTTTGGTTGTTCCAAATATCCGTTACGTGAGAAAAGTTATAGTACCCTACTGCAGAAGTGCGTAGTAAATATGTTTAAATAGTACACCTTTTAATTAATAATTAATAAAAGAAATTTTACAATGTAACTCCTCAACCCCTCTTTAAAGAAAACAAGAACCCTTGTAAAATTTCGTTTTGAAAGTTTTCAAATTTGAAAACTGAAGAAAAAAATTAATAGAAAAAAAATCATATAAATTAAATTTATATATACATATATTCATATATTTTTTAAACCCTTTTCGCAATTGGTGTACTCTTGTAACCGGTAAATTTTGTTACCCCGTGAAATATGCAATACCAGAATTTCCACAATTCTTCATGGCTGAATTGCTGAATATATAGCATTACCAACGTTCCTAGAATCGCGGTGACATGAACAGGTAACATTTTTTGGTAATACAATTTTCCGGTTACAAAATCTTCGGTTACGTGCAGAATAGACCTTTTATGGTTCTAAAAGTCTATAATACGAAGGGACAGATGCCGGTAATGAAATTCTTAAGTTTTTTCAAGCAAGAGTTTTAAAAACTCAATTCTATTGACACTGTTTTATATTTCTATATACAGTTCACTAGTTTCGAATCTAATATATGTAAATGTATGTATCAAGATGTGTCCTTTGTGCTCGACGGTTGCGATGTTTGTTTGGACTGATTTCGCACCAGTCATTAGCCATGGGTTAATGTCAGAAAACGTCTATACATACGCGTTGAAATACATACATACGTATACATATATGTTTTTTTCAATTCCAGATATGTTTAAACTTTAAAGTATAAAATATATCAACCCTGGGAAAAAAGTATTAGTACTGAATGGTAAAAAACGTGTGCATTCATTTTGAATATACAATCATGTGTGTGTGCGAATGCTTCTGTTACATTCACATTCCATACTGAATGTTAATCTACCATTCAAAAACTCAACACAGCTTATTTGTTTTCAAGCATTTTAAGCCACTCAGGAATGAGGCTTTTTTTATACAAACAAACAATCAAAATTTTGAAAAGAATGTCGAGTGAATGCAGATCCTATTGATTCAATCATTTTACAGCTCTGCTATACGATATCATAAAAATATATTAATTGTGCGCGTTATGTACATCTGAAATTTTCATTTCGTGTTGGCAATAGCCATGAAAACCATAATGAACGAGCAACCCTGTGCCAATCTCGACATAACCACCTCCGAGCAAACTAAGCAGGCGCCATTTAATCTGGCAAACAAAAGTTTGTCTGCATATTGACAATTTTTGGAACACACTATCAGTCAAAACTTAACTGTCCGCTGACTGACATTCAACCACAAAAAGTATTCCCGCTGACTGTTGACTGACGAAAACAAGCAGTCACACCATGATTCAATAATACAAGGTTCGATAAACTGACAGTTGTCTCTCTCGCACCGCTCCCTTAGCAGTGGCACCGTGTTGCTTCTTTGCACATTTACATGGAAACAGTGTAGCTTTGATGTGAAATAGAATTATGAGCGTTTGTGCAATATGTTTATTTGTATATGCATATGAAGCATATTTATCTGATGAAAACATAAACTGTTTTTAATTGGATGTTTACATCAATCTCATAGTATTATTTTAGTTTTGAGTAATTTTGCAGTTTTTATACAGCTAAATAGCACATAAATTACGTAATTCACATAGATACATCAACATTACGTTCAACATTTCGTTTAAAATGCCAGATTTCCTGCAAATACATTCGAATTTACAAAAGGAATTTCACTACTAATTGCCTACTTTCCGTACTTTTCTACTACCATTTTCGCACCAAGTGATTTCATTCCTCCCCTTTTCTCCGTCCTTCGTAAATGCAACCTTTTGTAAGGGAGTGTCAAACCGCAGCTGTCAATAATTATCTAACCTTGTATTATTGAATCATGCAGTCACACGGTCAAACAGGGGAAATTTGAGCAAAACTATTTATTTTGATCGCCAATGTATAACTCACATTCCATAGGGGCCTGTCTCACGGTCAGTATTAATTGACGTGATCCAAGTATCGCGATATTTATTGACGGTGTAGCATGCAGTATTGATGGATCATGATCCATATCGCAAAACTTCTAAAAATTTTGAAATCTGGATCGCGGATCGCAATACCGTCAAAAAAATATTGAACGTGTAGCACTTTCAAAACGAGATCCATCTATTTCGTCTGTACATCTTTTATACAGCGTTTTTGCTGCATTTAAAATGCAACATTTAGCACTTTCGAACATATGTTTTCGAAGAGCGTTCATGCTATAGCATTTAGCAAATGTACATTTACGCGAGTTCGAAATCATATGCTTTTGACAAACAGCTGTGTTCCAGTCTCTTATTTAGATACGTGTATATTACGATCAATTCTCACGCAGAAGATAATGTGCAAAAACCCTACTGAAAAGGAAAAAATAAATTTTAAACCAAAAATTCAATAAAAAAACTTGAATTGGTTTAACCATAACCGAGCATTTGTTTGTGTATATATTCATTTGTCGGTGCTGTCAATTAAAATTTCCTCACTTAATTAGGAAACAAAACAAACAGAGTTGATCATAAATTGATCCTGATTTCTATCAGCATCACATCGATGTTGAATTTGCTTAACTTTTCTTTATCCAAATATGTAATGTAAAATAAAAGAAATCTCGATCGACGATCACTGAAACGCAGCTAGCAACTGTATACTCGAAAAAGCAATGTTGCCACTTTTTCTCTTTAAACCATGTTCGAATCGTGGAAATTTTGGAAGATCACAGGGTTGCTTTTAGCATTTAGATTCTTAATGCAAAAATGGAGTTGCATTTAGGTGACGAATTTTGTATGGATAAATGTACATTTAGAGTAGCATTTAGAGCTAAATGCTCTAAATTTGCTTTTACGCATAAGCAAAAACAGGCCATTACTCTCATAATGCGAAGATCGGCTTTGCCTTCGCTCTCGGGGCTTAAAATCTTTCAAAACAAATTTTAATTAACATTGAAAATTTTAAAATAACTGTGGAAAGCATTATCTGTAAATTATACGTACAAAATCAAAATAGTTTCTTGCGTCATAATAAGCATTCAGCACAAAAATTATGCAAATACTGACGCGATAAATGTTGAACATGTAGCATTCGTGCGCGATCCATTAATCCATCAATATTAATCGCGATCCAATTATCGTGATAATTACTGACCGTGTGACAGAGCCCATAGAGCTGGGTACTCGCTACTGCCAGAGCTGTACAATCAAGTTCATAAGCCGTTTTCACCCGACGATTGTTGCTTGCAACAGAGAGTTGGATGTTGTATCCACTGATGTAAACTCCATATTACCATTTCTCTACTAAAAATCGATTTATCAAAAGTAATTCCTTGATATAAGGAGTGTTTCTTAACTTTTTACAGCTGTTGATGGAAGATTGGAGAAGGGTATAATTTCACGCACAAAGAGATCGAAAGAGGAAAAAGTAAAGAAACGGAAACTAGCAGAAATTTGCAATCACAGTATACACACACACAAACATCTTCAAATGCATGCACAAATCCTTACATTCTTCAATTTTTCAATGTGTTATGATAACGATGCACTCATTTTGTTTTATTAAAACGAAGTAAAATAAACTTGCCAACTTTTTCCTTTTGCGTTTTGATCAGCTGCGTTTTAAACATATGACTGCAAATTTCTGTTGGCAGAAATTTCGCCAGCAAAAATTTGCAGCTCTCTCGGGTTTTTATGCTCTCTTTTTGGCTCTCTTCTGCAAATTTTTTGTGTTAATGCCCTGTGCCAATTGATAGAAAATAGAAAATTTTGACGGATCAAAGTAAACATCTGACATTTCTCGTGGTGTATAAGAACGTCAGAATTTTACCTAGCTCATGGGGATAGGTAAAATTTTGACAGCTTATAACCATGTATACACATAATATTGCTTGGCGGTAATAAGGAGTGAACATGAAAATGAAAGCTGAAACAGCATAAAGAAGCTTACGTTACTTGCAAATTATAAAATAAATATAAATTTTAAGAATTTCAGCAACACACAAAAATAAAGCTTTCGCACGAGCGTTTGTTTGGTATTCAACTGTCAAAATTTAACTCTGCATTTGGCACAGCAAAATTCAATTTATTTGTACACCATAGCAAATTTTTCCACCCCGTCTAACCACGGAGAAAAAAGTTACCGATTGGCACAGGCCCTAAGAAACGCTTTCCAGCAGAATCCAGTCAAAATCTGTGATAATTATCTGTTAAGAAACAAAGCTAGTATTAAATCGTAAATATATCACACCAATCGATTATTGTAGTCAAATGATTAATCGTGGCCATTCCTACGTGTAGACTGGCTCGAAATTTTTTCTTTTTCGTTTTGCTTATAAATATTGTGAGAAAAAGTTGTTTGAAAGAAACCCAAAGAAAGTAAAAAAAAAAATTGTTTGGTCTTAAAATATAGAGGCAATTTTGGAGTATTGGTATATTGTGGTCATATTCTTCGTGTAGTGTTTATAATTGCAAATCGTTTCTTTGCCGATAATTATCTACAAGTTGAAAATCGGTAGTCGAAGTTCGCACACGCGTGTTTCTAAATTTTTTTTTGCTTCTATACGTTCGTAAATTCGTGTTCGTCTTGATCGGTTGCTCCAACATATTTTTTATTATTATTTAGGTGTAAAATTGGAACAGCGAAGTTGAGCAACTCCTACGTGACTTCTCTTTGATGGATGAAGTGATTGTATTAGATAGTGACAACGAGCAGGACCAATCATCCGACATGGAAGTAGAGACAGTAGAATTGGATTCCGAGCAAATCGTTCCCAAGGACAATGCTACGTGAGTACCCCATTATAATTAGCAAGGAAAATAGAAGATACTTTGATGGTTTGTTTGGGGGTTTAATATGTAGATAAAAACCATAATACAAGTACATCTATATCAACTGTATGTATGCATGTACATACATATATACTTATATGCATACATATGTATGTATGTATGTATGTAAAAATAATTTTTATATACACTAGTCGTCAGCTGATTAAGTTAGGTGATATTTGGCTGAGATTTCCAATAATGGACCATTTCCTATTTCAGGCAAAGTATATATCATCATTTTTTCATAAGCAAATGAATAAAACAATATTTAAATACAAATTTTCGCCTGAGGCGCTTTTTTTTAAATTCAATACCTCGATATATAATGAAAATTTTCGAATCGAAAAACCGCCTTCAAGAAAAGGAGGACGTTATCAATTCGGAATATTTTTTTTTTATGTAACCGCATAACTTTAGACCGATTTCACAAATTCTTTTTGCATTGGAAAGGTAGTCTCTCAGAGGTGGTCCCATACTAATCTGGTATAGATCCGATCATTGGATCATGAAAAGTTAACGGTACTCCTAAATTTTTATATGAGATTTGAAGTCGGTTTTGTTTTTTGCTTAAAAAATTATTTGTTTATTACAAATTTTCGCCTGCGGCGCTTTTGTTTAAATTCAATATTTCAATGTATATTGAAAGTTTTTAATAAAAAAATGGGGGTGCTTAAAAATATCAATACTTACAATATATTGCAAATTCGCGCTTTCGCTTCGATATACATATAGTGAAAATATGCATTAAAAAATCGTTCGTTTTCATTGTTTCCGTTTTCAGTTTGTTTTTCGAAATTTTTTGGGATGTGTGTGTAGGGTATAAGGGTTCTCTTATACCTGTAAAATTTTTATTTGTTCATTTGTACTTAGATTTTATTTGAATTTCTAAATGAAAAGTTTTTAAAATCATTAAAATAAAAGTCTTCAAACAACAAACATAAAATTTTCTATTTATTGAGCAATAAATAATTCAAAATTTTAAATAATAAAATATCATCACGATAAAGTGTGGCAGCACCGAAGTTTCACTTCAATCGCTATACAAAATAAAAAGAGGTTGAATTTGACTTTTTTGCAACTTTAACTACTAATTATTTAAAAACTATAAGCCTCCGGAGGGGGGGGGGCCTTCAGATTTAAAATTAGGAGGACCCCCTCTACACCCCCTGTTGTTTTTGCTAGCAAACTGACATTACCAATTATCTTGCTATTTCTAAGCTTCCTAATATTGCGAAATTATTTGAAAAGATTTTTAGTAGTAAACTTCCATATGCTATTAAAATTTCAATATCCCCTTCCCAACGTGGGTTTTTACCAGGGCGCTCGAGTGTACATAACTATAACCTAACCGTGTTTTTCAAGTGTACCATCTACACTGATAAATCTAAAGCTTTTGATCGTATGTCACATAATTTACTCCTGCAGAAGTTAAAACATTTTGGTATTCACTCAAGCTTCCTGTCCTGGATAAAGTGGGTGAATTCCAAAACGTCAAAATACAAAGCATCAGTGTCTTTTATTTCTAAACAGCACTTGGAGAAAAGGTCTAATTTGCGCAATCTAGTTGAAAACTAGCATCTAACCTTGGTTGCGCACTTTTGGAATTACAATATGCTGAAGTTTAGAAATAAAAGATACTGATGCTTTGTATTTTGACGTTTTGGAATGCAGCCAGTCTTACCTCTCCAATACAGTCAATAAAGTTGTAGTTGATGAGATTAGCTCATTCCCTATTACTGCGACTTCTGGAGTTCCGCAAGGCGGTATTTTGGGCCCTATGTTCTTTGTTCTTTTCATGAATGATTCCAGCGCTTCTTTTAAACATTGTGATTACGTGTTATATGCAGATGACCTGAAAGTGTTTAAGAAATTGAAAATGCTTCAGATATTTTTGTCCATCAAGCTGAGCTTAATAATTTCTCTGAGTGGTGTGTATTAAATTAGCAATAAATTTAAATAAATGTTGCTCTGTACCTTATTTCAAGTCTCGTTCGCCGTTACTTTCTTCTTACACTATAACATTTACAAAACATTTGAATGTTGTCCTTAACTCGAGTACCAAAATTAAGGATCAAGGTGTCGTGTTTGATTCATCGTTCACTTTTTTCGAACATCTTAATTACATTATTCTTAAAGCGTTCTCCTCATTAGCTTTCATTAAGCGACATGTTTCTCAATTCAAGAAAGCTTTTACATATATATTGCGTTTGTCAGTCCAAACCAGAATATGCCTCTATAATATGGAATCCTCCTTATGAAATTCACCATAACAGGATTGAACGTGTACAAAAATGTTTTTAAGATTTGGTTTAGCTCAAATTAGATTTGAAAACCCTACTCTACCATATATATCTCGCTGTAAATTGATCACACACTCTTCGTAGTAGTCTAGTAGTCGGATTATCTCGGGTCTGATGTTTTACATGATATTCTGAGTTGGAAAATTGACTGCCCCACTCTATTACATCTATCCCGCGCCATTTCTGCGGGATCACGGATAACACATGTGGGATCCGCGGGATTTGCTGGACTACAGAAAAAAATTAAAAATACGAATGCGAGTTGAAAACGTGCTCGCCAAAATGTTAGTCGTGCATGGCTGTATTAAATATACATCCTTTTATAACCCAGTAGATAATTTCAGAAGTTAAGAGCCCTTCCGAAAGGCCTTCCTGAGAGTCCAAGAGGCCTTCCACTCTACATTCCTGTCTTCTTCCTTTTTTGTATGGAATGGCATCAATAGAAGGGCTTCTTCTTTCGCTACCCATAGAAGGGCCTTTGTTGGACGTACTTCAGAAGGTCTTTTGGAGGAGTTCATTCAAAGTTGCTTCTTTAATTTATAAAATTAATACATCGTTAAAGTATTGCTTCAGGTTTATATCAAATTTGTGTTATATATGTTAACTTCCGCGAAGCCGTTCCAATCCGTTTTGTTAAAGTTGGTGTAGGTTCGGTGGTCCGCGGGTGCAAAGTCAGTGGGCTTATTGATCGAGATGATTATGGGCAGATGGTCTCATGCTAGAGTTAGCATAGTTCGCCATTATATGCTATTTATCAGACCAGCGCTACCAATTGTTAATTCTGGCGAGCTGCTGCAGCTGACCACAATCCTGGTGGGGCGTCGTCGTTCATGGTGCAGAATGTCGAATCGTCTATCTGCTCAGCCAAAAGATTTCTGCTACGATCATTAGCCAGTGTTGATGGCCAAAGATCGTGGTGCGCATTGAAGTCACCTACTACCATTCCGTTTTCACCTCTGAGTAGCGCACCTATGTCAGGGTGATAACCTACCGGGCAGCAGGTGACAGAGGGTATATACACGTTAAATATCTCGAGCCCGACATCACCTGACCACACAACTTTGCCCTGACATTATAGGGTAGTGTCCCTCGGGTCGATGTCTTCTTCGATAAGCCGATACTGCACTGTGTGGTCTAGGTTGAACGCTAATCCACCACCATTATCTCGCTCGTGATCTTTACGGAGCACATTGTAGGCGGCGCAGCCCAACAAAGGTGAGATACTGTGCCGACCCATAAAGACTCTCTCTCTCTCTTTAATCTTGCTTTGGAGTCCGTTGCAGTTAAGTTGTAAGAGCTTCGTATGCCTTGGGAGGCTGGTCGCGATACGGGGAGTGAGGGACGTGTGGGGTCTACCTTGGGCCTGTTGCGTTTGACGCAGTTGTTGTTGCTGCAGTGGGTGTGATGTTGTTTGCGTCGGCAGTGCTCTACAGCAGGGACATGTGTTGCATTTGTCTGACGTTACATTCCGGTATACTCTGTTGTGCCACACGGAGCAGATGGTGTGGGCAGCCAGGAGCTGCTGCTTGGCTCGCACGCGAGAGTTGGAGCGGTCGGTAGATTGGTGTGAGGGTTGATGGGTCGGGAGCTTTGCTATTGCTCAGGGATCCTTCTAGGAGCCGTGCAGGCTCTTCGAGTGCTGGTTCGCACCCGCGCGTTGCGCGAGCGGGTAGCCGTGGAAGCTGATGGTGCCATTTGGCTTGAGCAACAGGAAGCCACAAAGCTTGTGGTCCACTCCCGCTGAGACCGAAGGCCAGAACAGATTCTTAGGTGACTCCATCCGTTGCATGAGTAGCATCTGGCCACGTTTGTGATACCCATTCTTTGTGCATGATCAGCCACAGCATATGCCCCGTAAGCAATCTGGTAACAACTCTGCAATCATTCCATGACAGCCGTAACAAGAAGTGAGTATAGTACGTCCGTAAACCTAGCAGACCCAAGTCGCCAAAAATCAATAAAAATTAGCTAGGAATTAGCTGTTAATTAGTAAGGAATTAGGTGACTTTTAGGTGTTAATTAGGGCCTCCAAAATTAATTTAGGAGTTCCATTAGTTTCCGAGAAATTCGCAAAACTTTGTGGCTCAGCTAGGTTTACGTAAGCTACTAAATTAGTTCTAGTGGCGTTGAAGAACACCTAAAAGACTCCCAATTCCAGCATATATTTGGAAAATTTAAAACCTAAATTTAACGATGGGTCAGCCAGCCTTACGTAAACATAGCTGACCCACACCTTTTTGGAAATTTCTCGGAAACCAATGGAGCTACTAAATTAGTTTTAGTGACGTTGAAGAACACCTAAAAGACACCTAATTCCAGCATATATTTGGAAAATTTAAAACCTAAATTTAAAATTTTTGCGAATTTCTCGGTCCTCTCGGTTTGGAAGTCCTAATTAACACCTAAAAGACACCTAATTCCTTGCTAATTTGTATTGATTTTTGGCGACTTGGGTCAGCTAGGTTTACGGACGTGAGTGTAGTTACTTTCGCTTAACTTAAGTACAGTTTAATGTTTTGTTATTTTTTACAGTTTGTTTCAAGGATCGAGAATTGCAATCGACGTGTTGCTTGATATTCTCAAACAATAAATATCTGCGCTGGTCCTTTAAGAGCGTTGAATAGACGGTAAACGACCTTCAATAGCAATTAGGGTGAT